TCTCGCGTGTGGGTGGTGTTGATGAGTGTAGAAGTGTGGTGAGTTGTGTTGTGTGGTGTATTGGTGTAGTGGCATTAGGGGGGGGCGGCTTATCTCATTTAGCCAAATATCCTGCAATATATTAGAAAATCTAATAAGCAGCAGAGTAATATACTTTTTTTTTTACTTAACGTTAATTATAAGAAAATAGACATAAAACAATTTACATATGTATTTATAAGTGACCTGGTCTACGAAAAGGGAGGTAACGTGCGAAAACTAGTTTTCTGGGAAACAGCTGTTAAAAATAAACAACTAGTTCGTCAGTTTCTCGTTATATCATTAATTGTTCTCCTTTCCAGAGGCTTCAAGGACGTCCAGTAAATATTGTTTTTGGTCGGAATATTATTATAGTTCGAGCCGAATAATTAAACAAATAGTCTTTGTGGGAGTTTTACCAACCACATCAGCGTAGGAATTCCAGAAGCCCAACCCAAAGTTCAACATAGTCGACAAATACAAAAACAAAAGCGCTAAATTAAAAAAAAGCGGTAAACGCTGTAAGTGCGACCCACAATTTTTTGTCTATATATAACATTAAGTGAAAAACCTTATTTGTTAAGAAAAAATTGTCAAAATTTGTCCCTAAGAACACTTAAGCTCAATTTATATGACACGCTTAGTTTGGCAAAAATTTGGATTGCACTATTTAACTATAATAAATAATCTTCGCGGGGGGCGGGGGGATTGAAAGCGCACATTAGCTTTTTCTTTTACACTTTACTGGTGCGTATATTAAATCAATTGTTCTGTTCTAATAATTGCCAATTGCAATCAGCGCTGCCATACTGATCAAATAAAAACAAAAAGACATCTAATTCAAACTTCATTATCCACCAAATGACAGGTTTCTAATATCCAGTAAAGAAATCATTAGAAATTAAAAACAGCTGAAATTCTTCGTGAAGTGACTCCGAGAAACATCCTCAGCTCATTAAGAGTAAATAAAATAAGATAATTTGAAAAAACTAACTCACTAATAAATGAGAGCCTTAAAATTTTGGAGGCGATGTGCAATCAGTTACATAAAGATAACATAGCGTCAAAAAAAAGAAACGAAGAACCAAAAACTAGTAAAAGCAAGCACTTGAGTATTGAAGAACTATTTCTAGTATGAATGTTGATCAAAAATACAAAACTGATGAAGATGAGCTACCTAAAGAAACTGAGTGAATACTCAAAAAGAAGCGCTCTTCATAAAAACTCAAATCTGATACTTCTCCAACAGTTATTAGCCCTTCGAAAAATAAAAATTAAGAGCAGGCGGCCAATAATGATACTCAAACCCACCGCTCACCTCCTATTATAATAAACGATATAAAGGAATTTAATAAATCACATTATAATATTACAGATCTAATAAGTAACAACTTTTTAATAAAGCTTTTGAGCAACGGCGCCTAAAAACTTAATGTCTTCGATGTAAATAATCATCGCACAATAACAAAATACTTATCTAATGAAAATATACCTTGGTTTAGCTAAGAGAGTAAATAGGCCAATAAAGGTATTGATAACAATTTACGCCACTCATCCCACCCATTCTTAGTACCGTTGTCAAAGTTGCGCCTAATTCAGCATATAAATTAATTCCACAGTGCCAAAAACTGAAGTATGTAAAATGTGGAGGCAAGCATCCTACTGTTAAATGCAGGAAAGCTAAAAAGATCCTGCTAAATGTTGTAACTGCGGCGATTCTCATCCTGCAAGCTACCGTGGTTGTATCGTCGCAAAAGAACTGCAACAACTTAGAGATAAAAATAATGGTAACTCAGTTGAGATAATGCCAATGCTCCGACGAAAAAACCCGTTGTGAACACAGGAGGATGGAGTCATGTGTAGAAGTTCACGCAAGTGAGGAAAGTTTTCTGATCGCCATTCACTTGGGAGTGGCCAGAAACGATTCTTTTACATATGACTCAAGCAGCTCTCGACTTCCGGTCCTTGACCAAGTATCCTCTGGGTAGCCTAAGAATATCCGTTTGAAGGCGAGCTAAAGTGAGAAGGCGAAACATTCATTGCATAGGGTTGTGCGCTGGGTTTGGGACCCRCCACGTAAAAAAACCACCCCAATGACAACGCTGTGAACACAGGATAAGTAAAATCCCTTCCTTCCGTTTCTAAAGTTTCATTTGCGCAAATGGCTAAGCAAGGTCATACAAATACAATTCAAAAAATTAGTCTGTTATTCCAAATATTGGATATACTAAATGAGCAAGGCAAACTATTTAAGTCTTTTAATCAGCGGCTCAACGTTCTTGAGTACCATCTACAATTTATTGATGAACAGTAACTCTTTGAGAATAATGCTATGGAACGCTAATGGTCTTTCTAAAAGTAAAAATGAATTAGACGTTATTCTACATGACAGAAATATTGACATATGTCTATTATCTGAAACCCATTTTACGAACCATTTATTTTTAGGATTTAAAAATTATTAATTACATCACACACCACACCCGCCAAACTCAGAATGAGGAGGGAGCGCGACAATTATCGAAAGCAATATTGAACACTGCGACGAAGATCCGATTTCGAGCTACAATAATTTCAGTTAAATTTCACAATCACCCATTGTATCTTATTGCTCTGTATAGTCCACCTATGCATAATATAAAAACAGATACGTATATGAATTTATTAAAAAATATGACGGAAGGTAGATCATCTTTGGTAACTTTAACGTAAAATACACTCATTGGGGATCTCGTTTAACTTCAAACAAAAGTCCTAAACTTCTTAAAGCTATACAAGTAGTTGGACGCAATTTTGTTTCTACAGGAAGACTCACTTATTGGCCTACAGATTGACAGAAATTGCCAGATCTTCTTGTCTTCTTTATAATCAGTAAACTACCGAAACTTACTTTATGTATTGAAGATTGCTCAGACCTAAGTTCTGACCATTCCACAANGCCAGATCTTCTTGTCTTCTTTATAATCAGTAAACTACCGAAACTTACTTTATGTATTGAAGATTGCTCAGACCTAAGTTCTGACCATTCCACAATGCTACTAACGCCCAGCCAACATTATGTAATAAACACACTAAACTAAACTATAGTGAAAAACGACGACCTAAAGCATTAGTTGCTCTCCTGTCTCTTATACACATCTAGATGTGTATAAGAGACAGGACCTAAGTTCTGACCATTCCACAATGCTACTAACGCCCAGCCAACATTATGTAATAAACACACTAATTGGTATAAACTGGCCAGATCTTCTTGTCTTCTTTATAATCAGTAAACTACCGAAACTTACTTTATGTATTGAAGATTGCTCAGACCTAAGTCTGTCTCTTATACACATCTAGATGTGTATAAGAGACAGCCATTCCACAATGCTACTAACGCCCAGCCAACATTATGTAATAAACACACTAATTGGTATAAATTTAAAAGTATAGTGAATAAAGTCGACCCAAAGCTTAAGCACATATCGACAGGTATTGATTTAGACTGTGAGGTTGAAGATTTCACAAGAATAATCACGTTGCGTGGAAGAGTACACCAAATACCCATGTGAATCTAAGTGGTGCCAAATACCCAAAACACATCTTAGAAAGTATCCATAGAAAGCGCAAGCTTCGACGAAAATGGCAACAAACTAGGTCCTCTGCTCTCAAAACTGAGATTAAAAAATCAACAGCGGAACTAACAACACAAATTAAACAGTTTAAAATTTGTTTCTTCAAAACTTATCTGGCTAAACTCACAGCTGATAAATCCACCGACTATTCACTCTGGAAAGTTGCAAGAAATATGAATAAACAAACAAAACATGTAGTACCATTAAAACTGAACGAACTGCATGGTCCAAAACGAATGAACAGAAAGCTACCGTATTCGCATTTGTCATTTGAGAAACACATATACGCCTAACGATGGGTATGAGATAAACTGTCAAATAGTTGGACATCTGCATTTCTCCTGTTACTATTAAAGAAATTAAAAATCTTATCGGGAACACAAGCCTCAAAAAAGTACCTGGGTACTATTTAATAACTGGAGAAATATCAATGAAAATGAATTTATCAAAGAATTGTATAAGAAAACTCGTAAATATTATAAACAGTGCTTTCTGCCTAAGATACGGGCCATCGCTTTGGATAGTATCTGAAGTCATAATGATACCCAAGCCGGGTAAGCTAGTACACGATGTTATATCATATCGACCAATTTAGCTGCTGTCAGCTTTGTCTAAAATCTTTGAGAATGTATTCATAAATAGGCTCAAACCAATAATCGCTCATAAACACCTTATATTAACACATCAATTTGGCTTACGCGACCACCATTCAACAATTGACCAGGTACACCGAAACGTTTGGCGGCCTTTTTGGACGTGTCTCAAGCTTTTGCCAAACTTTTACGGGTCTACTGCATTGAAAGATAGATACTTCCGCATTAAATAAAAGGATGCATACTCAAACTTGCTATCAATAGAAGCGGGTGTTCCCCATGGAAGCGTGTTGGGGTCAATGCGTTATTTGCTTTTTACCAGTGGTCTCCCATTTGTCTCTAGTTATATAAAAGCGACATTTGCGAATGATACAGCTTTGTTAGCAGCTGGAGAGTCAACTCAATTACTAAGTGGGCATCGAAGTGGCGCATCAAATTAAACGCAACCAAATCAATTCATGTCGACTTTACCTTGGAAAAGCCGGCATATTGTAAAATTTATATAAATAACATTCCTATACGCATTAGATGCTAAGTTACGCCGGAAACAATTGCCATCAATATTAACGAGAAATTTTTTTTTATAATTTGAAAAATACGACTCACATCCAGGGAGTTACATAATATTTACATGACTTTCAGCAAGAGCTCCAATGCAATGAGGAATAATCGGGAGCTAAAAAGAGAAAAGTAATAACTATTCGATTTTGTACATAGTATTTGTATTCATTTTAAACTTTACGCACCTTTATCTAGTTTTTAAGCACCTTATTTATTGCTTCACATGTTTCTATAACAATTTTTTCAATTGCTGGTTTAGCAATAACTGTCCACGCCACTCGCCAAAAATCGCAAAGTGACTGCTAACCGATGATATGGCGAAACAGGGTTTCATCTTTGTTCTTTTCTTCCTAATTAATGGTTCCACTATGTTTACTTAAAAGTTTATTTGGTCAAAATTGAACACCTTCGTTGCTACCAAAGGGCGGACTGCAACCATATGTACATTTATACCTTTTATATATTTTACATATTGAATGAGATAAGGTAAGAAATATGTAATTCTAAATATGTGTATAAAAACATACAGTCCACTATCTCAAATATATTGAACATACTATACAAGTTAACGCAACAAATATTTATTTCAACACTACAAGATTCATTGCAACAATGTCGCAAAATTAATTGCAACATTGCTAACGTTCAACAACATACAGAAATTTCTTTAAACAAACATCCGCGGCAACTCCCAGAATCGATCGATATTATTGCTGATTAACGAAAATAAACAATCATCCACTTCAATATATTGTAAATTCTGCTGACCATTCAACATCCGCTAAACTCTGCCGTTAAGAACGCCGACGCCGCAATAAAACAAAACTTAACTGGCGCCCTAGCAGGGATCAACGAGGCTAGAAAACCCAAAAAGTTGAACTTCGTTGGACATCGGTGGATTGCAAGTCTTGTAAGGCAAGCCCGCAGGACACCTTCTACTCCAGAGTAAGTTGCAGGATACCTAGTAGGGACAAGACAAACCAAACAGAAGAGATCCGGACTGCCAAGAAGGGCAGCCACACCAAAAAATAGCAATGCAAGTAGGTTATGTTAGGTTAGGTCAGATGGCTGATCATAGATCGCACGTAGACTAGATGTAGTCCTTTGGTTAGCCATTGAAAATAGAACTACCGTGTTCGGATTTAGGGATCGGCAAAACGCTAGTAGCCAATACAAATTTGCAAAGGCGCTTAATTTCTACGCCAGTTCGGTGGGATGTCTGTAGGTATGCGCACCCAAGTACCTAAGTCTTGAACTCCCAAAAGCGGGGCAGTAAAGAGGGAATTGCTGGCTAGTTTCTACCGCATCTTGTTCAACGCAGCTTCTACATGCTTCGTTCGGTATTATTCCTAGCTTTACAGCATGTATGCCAATAGGGCAGTGGTCTGTCAAGAGCCCCATCACTAACGAGAGGATGATTTTACTGAGGGCAAAGAGATCATTAGATCTCCTGCGATCTATATTAGGCTAAAAGGCTTTTGCGACCGCGCAGGTACCAATACTGGCAAAGCGCTGACCAAGCAGTCGCGAGACCCACCTGTCCAGCAGTAGAACCCAAGAGGACACAGGAGCACCGACCCGTTCCCATTCTACCGATAGCGACTCTAGGGTGTCTTTCCTTTCCAGCTCATCAGTTTTGCAGTTACCTGCGATTCCGCTGTGGCCAGGCACCCATACAAGTCTTATAGTAAAAGCTCTAGTCACCAGAGACAGCGATGCCAGACACTCCTCGACCAACCCTTAACGCGCCGTGAATGAGTTCAGGGCTAGTATCGCCGCTCAGCTATCTGAGTGAATGGTCACTTCTCTGAAGGTCGACACTCTCCGGAGCAGCAAATCTGCTGCCACCTTAATGCCTGCGACTTCCGCCTGGAAGACACTGCAATAGTCGGCAGTTCAATGGAGAGCTCCTTCAGTGCACCCCTCCACCAACCTTCTCCCTTTGATCCATCCGTAAAGAAGTTTATTGCCCCTCTCCTCCAACGGCTTCTTCCCTCCCAAAACTCTCTCGGCGGTATATGGGCAGTGAAGGAGCCGCCGCGGTTCGATATAGTGACTCCATGATCTAGACGATCCGGTATGCAGTCAAAGCGTGTGAGGATACCCAAGTGTTCCGATATACGCTCCGTTGGGAGCCAGATGCCATGAGCCTGATAGCCACTTTTGCGGCCATACACCTTCCGGCAATGTCCATCGGCGTTATGTTCAGAATTGCATTGAGAGCAATGGTTGCGATGGACCTTAATGTATTGCACATGCTGATGAGCACGGTCCGCTGAACGCTCTCAATTCTCTTAGCAAGTGTGGTCTTCTGTAAAGCCCTCCACCACATAAAGACTCCATAGAACATTATGGGCTTCACCATGGTGTCATAGAGCCAGAGGACCACCTTCGGCGAGAGGCCCCACCTCTTGCCAATAGCTCCTCTACAGCAGTATAGGGCAATCGATGCCTTCCTGGCTCTTTCCTCGATATTCGGCTTCCATGAAAGCTTTTTATCCAGGATGATCCTAGATACTTCACTGCATCCGCCGGTTGCAGGCGAACAGCTCCCATTTGTGGCAAAGGTGCCACAGGGATCTTGTATCTTCTACTAAATAAAAACATTTTTGTTTTATTGATTGACTGATTTTGTTTATTTTATTTATTGTGAGGAGAAAGAAACCATAGTGCCGCTCACTATGGCGGGAAGGACCATGCTTAAACGGGGGCAAGAAAAAATGCTCTTGTGGTTGTATATAAGTTACTTTAATTTAAAATGTTGGCTTGATAAGATATTGATATTTTGCATTTAACAATAAAGTATATAAAGAGAAATGTAAATGCACTCGCTACGAGCGAATTAACGATGGAAATTCAAGACGAGCTGGCAAGATAGTATCCCTATGAAAGTAGGTAATCGTTCGTATCGCGCCATGTTGAATGTAGCCCGCGGGACAGACCCGATCGAAGAAGAGTAGAGTGGGTGTCGACGCGGCGTAGTGTATATATTAACGTGCGAATTGTGTAGAACGAATGTGTCTGCTATCCCGTTGTCCATCTTTTTTTTTTTTTGTGGGTTGGTGTACAGTAGGGTGGGTCGATTCCGGACATTTTTTGATTCGGGATTTCTAATAATGCGGAAAAGTTGCCTTAGTACTTCCTGATTCCAATGCAACTTTTTGTTTTAAGTTCGGATTGCATCTTCAACCCTAACTCCGGCTTTGAAATTTCGGAAATTCGCCTAAAATCGTGAAATTGTTTACCTAGCGACTGAAATACGCATCTCATGGCAAAATGTATGCAAAAGTTATTTGTCACGTCATTTGCTACCGAAATGGTATATGTGATCATGGGCGTAGGACGAACCGTTCCCGAGATACGAGCGAAAATGCGGCGCGCCACAGCGCAAGGTGAAAATTGTTGCAGCTCTCAGCTAACCTGTATTGGTCACCCAGAACCCACCGCGTGCAGGTGGCTGCTCTTCGGGTTCCTCCAAACCCCAACCCAACCCATCCCAACCCAACCAACCAACCATATGTCAGTCTTGGTTTAGTCAGAAACTGTGTCAAATTTATTGACAAAATCAGATTTTGTACTAAACTTTGGCACTTGTTGCCTAGATTTCAGTGTAGAGTGTATAAAACGATCACGAGATTGGGGGCCAATAACTCTAGAAGATGCCTCTGTCACCAGTTTGACGGTTCTCTCGACTGCCACGGTGYGAGAGGGGAATTCACTAAATTTCCATACCTCTGCAGTGTCACCCGATATCCCTTTTATGAGTTCTTTGTTAGAAACTGAAAAAAGAACTGGTGGAACAGTCTAGGTAATAGTTTTCCAACAAACCATATCCTAATAATTATTAGCTTTGAAATTCAGCTTTGGCACTTTATTATATCTAACCCTTATATTTACAGTGTCAGACTCTGCTCTCTGGCTGTCAGAAGACGGTCAAGGGCCAACTTTCTGACTTCTATCCGTTCGTCAGTCATCATACTAAGGAGAATGTTTTCTGGAGGAGCAAAGAAAGCATTCTGTTGAATGGATGAATCGACAACCCTGCTCAGTTTAGCAGGTAAGTATCTCGACCTTTGAATTGCAGCAYAGAGATGGCGCGAGCCATTTTTGATTGAACTGTTGAATCTTATTGAGAACCACAAAGGTGAGTAAACTGTAAGTATGTACTTGACCAAAATCTTTATTTCCTTTGTTTGGTGTCAGTAGAAATGTATAATCTCAGAATTCTATTTGCACAGGGGAGCCAGCGAGATTTGCACATGTTACCTGGATGCATCGACGCTAAATCTGAGGAACATTGGCCGGAAATAACAGCTTCGGATATTCTATAGAGATAAGCTTGGTCTGTGCTAAGTTGGGTCGGATTAATAACCTCAGTAGGTAATTGGCAGGATGGAAAACTTCCAAATTTGACAACAGGCAACTTATCACAATCAGGGAGCAGTTTACCTATGTCGCCAGAGAATGTATTTGGACTCTTTGAGACACCATCTATGTGTTCGAAAAATGCACGAAATGGAAGTTGGTTGAAATGTAGAAGACAAACAACCCACTGTAATGGCCTACCTATTCTTTCTTCTAGTTTTCGAATGATTCCACCTTTCCAACCTGTGTTCGTGTTGGAGCCATCAGCACCGACAACTTCTAGATGTTCCACAACAACTGAATTGTCTTGTAAATGTTGCCATATAGCTTGCGTCTCATCCTCAGCTGACCCTGAAGGAGAGGTAACGTGGCCAAAGTAATGACAACCCGGTTCCGCTACAAGAGAAATATGTTCCTCTTTGACAGTGTCGCGGTAGTAATTTGCACCTTCGCTGACTTGTGTAAGTGTATTGTCTTTGCGGCCGTCAAAATACAGCCCATATACAGAGTCAATACTTTCGGTGTTTTGGAGCTTAACTCCAACACTATTTTTTGCCCGACTAATCTTGCATTTGTCAGTGACAAAGCTAGCCTTATCCTCTGTTATCAAACTTACTTTTTGGCATCCAGAAAAGCAGATGAAACAATCAAGGCCGCTGCTCTRTBAYTTACTCCAAATCTTTGGGCAGCTAAAGCAGTGTGTTCTAATACTAGTGTGTTTTGTTTGGTTTTAGAGGATGGAAGAGAAAACTCATCATCAGCATTGTTTTTGGATGAATCCATGTGCGACGCACCTACTTTGTTGTCGTCTGTATGAGAGTCCGGCTGATCTGAATGGTCACGTATTCTAGCTGATACTTTTCTGGTAAGTGTTGATGTTGAATGACGTTTTGAAAGCTTTTCTTTA